TGTTGAGGGAGTGGATCTTGTTAATGATCGACTAAGTGGACTACGTATTTTTGTAGATGTTGATCGTGTGACAATTGTACCTTTATTTTTCTGCACATCTTTAAAGAGAGGCTTAATAATGTGATTATATTTAAATCCTGTCGAACCTTTTAGGCGTCCAAGCGAATCTAAATGAACACCGGTACTTTGCAATAGATTTTTATAGGGTTGTAAATCTGCATCTGCATAGTTGGGTCATTATAGAATAAAAGTTGATACAGCCCAGGTGTGCCACGAAACCATGTACCTGCTAAGTTTGTCCCCTCAGGTAATATCTGTATTTGGCCAGTCGCTCTATCAAATTTAATTCGGCGTTTACCTAACATCCAACCAATGTTGTCGGTATATATAGGTCCATAATTTTTATCAATTTTATCGTTTTGTGTCCAAAAATCTTGTAAATAATTATGGCTTATTGGGGGATATTGATCTAAGTATTCTTCTATTGCTTCTTGTGAAAAATCAGCAGGACGCATTTCTTCAGGTAGTGGTGGTGTTTCAGGTCTCGGCGGTATATTACCTTGTTCATCAGTTGAAGCCACGTCTTCTAAATTGAGATAGTTTGGGTTCTGTGTGAATACATCATCATCATCATCATCATCATCCTGTTTCAATTTTTCCTCTTTTTAATAATAAATGAAGGATGCTGCTGAGTCTTAGCTATTTGCTTAAGAGGTTCAGATATTGGTTTGAAAAGTTTTCTAATAGATTCATCTTCTGCAGTTCGACCTAACTTTAAAGTAAGATACTTTTTACGTATAGCTCGAGCAAGTTCTGCGATCTTTCTTTTATGACTAGCAACGGCAACTTGGTCCTTTGACATCATGTTACTGAATGATGGCGTACATGATAAGCCTACAATTTTATGTACTTATCAAATCCTACTCTGTATCGACCATAATTAAGAGGAAAGTCTTTAACAATAACTAACGTACCGTACTTTTCTGCCCAACATTCCGAACACATCTTTTTGAATTCATCAAAAGTAACATCTGGAGATACATGCTCATCAAATATATGTTTTAGATTAATTTCATCCTGCTTAAATAGTACTATAATGTTACAGTTGTCTCGTATGAGCTGTTTTGGAATTTTAGAGTATGTTTGGCAGAGATATGCAGCATCGATATCTTTATGACGACACATGGAGTAATACTCTCGAATTTTCTGCTGACCGTCACACGACACGTCGTCAAATATAAATATAGAGCTATTTTTAGCCTTACTTGGACTTATAATTTCCTCGTTATCCTTAAATGGGAAATAGCCAACACCCTTAGCAGCGGAAATCACTTCTTGAAGCAGTTGATACTTTGGTTGATACAACGATTTTGAATAAACGTAAACATTTTTAAACTTAGCACCGTTTGGATGGAAAAGCAGCGCCAGCATTACGTTCGTTTTTCCACATCCGCTTGGTCCGCAGATGATAGCGCGAAACGAATTCGGTAAACAATTTACCATGTTTACTATGTTGAGTTTTTGCTGTAAAATCCAAGTTATCAATGGGTAATGACTGCTCTTGTTGAACAACCTTCATCGTGTGGCGTTCGAATAAGGAATGTGTAAAAGTATATATGTAGATATTGCTAACGCATCATCAACAGTTCTCATGTTAACGTACAAGGGTGAAGGTGTTGTAAACTCTCTGATAAATAATCTTCCGATAGAACTCCACGTACCTTCGTATCAGTTCCTGGGACGTAAGTGTGCGACAGATTAGGATATTTTTTTTTTCATTCTCACACATGTATATGTATATTTTCAGCGGGGGACTAAATTAAAGAAGAGGTTAGCACGAGGAGATCCTGGAAAGAACCCATTGGATCGTGCTGCAAGAGACCACGATATTGCATACGCCTTATACAAAAATTTGAAAGACAGGCACAAAGCTGATTGGATTCTTGAGAACCGAGCCTGGGAACGTGTAAAAGCACCTGACGCTTCACTAGGAGAAAAGACTGCAGCTTGGCTAACAACTACCGCAATGAAAGTTAAGCGAAAAATTGGGTATGGGGCAGAAGAAATCATCTTTCGACGAGGTGGTTCTCACGAAAATCACAAAGTCCTTGAAGAAAATGCTCCCACCACCACGACATTAAAAAAGTCTGCATTGGTTGCTCTTAAAGAGCGGCAAGATTAGCGGTGAAGAGTGCAGGTGGAAAAAAAATAAA